GTCCTATACAAGATATCTCAAAAACTAATTAACTTATGAATGAAATTTTCGTGAAAGGTTGACCAAGTTACAAGAAAGAAATTATCAAGTGTTGGTCATGATCCAAATTCGGGGGTGAACTTGAGGGTTATTTAAATTGTTAAGGTCGTGCGTGTTTCTTGTGTTCAAAATATCTCAAAAAACAGCTGTACAGATCTTAAATGGAAGATACAGGGAATGTTAGGTATGACCCAAGGATGAGGTGATTAAATTTTGGTGGCCATCCGGAGTGGGTGTGGATATGAGGACCATTTAAAGAAAACGTCTCAGACCAGATATTTCAAAAAACTAATCAACTGATACGAATCAAACTTTCGTGAAAGCTTAACTAAAGTACAAGGAAGAAATTATGAAATGTTGGTGACGGTCCCAATTCGGGTGTGCATTTGAGGGCCAAAATGTCCAGACCTAAATATCTAGGATAAATGGATCAATGGATAAAAATTACAATTGGTAGAATAGTTTGTCATGTTTTAATAAGAAGTGTGTCAATTTTGGTCACGATCCGAAGTAGGTTGTTGTATGAGGACCATTTAAAGAGTAAGTTTACCGTATTACCGTAGGCAAAAAATATATCTATATAATGAATATTTAAATTAGTGCGATTACAGTAAAGGAGCATACTAACTTACTTTTTTCGGAACTTATTGGGAATATTTTTAATTCACCATTTAAACATGTGACGCTAAAAACTAAATCCCATATTTCTATTTCCAAAATATATTAATTTCAACACCAATACATTGCATGTGTTTTGTTTGTCAGCTATGAGTAAAACTTGCCAGTAGGTTATGCCAGAACATGTCAGGAATCGGCAGGTGTAAAACTGATACAATAAAAGGCGTTCGGAAAATGAAGTGATTAAATTGTTTATATTTTGGTGTCGATTATGGACCATTCAGAGCAAAACGCAGATCAGATATCTAAAAAACTAAACAACTCATCTAAATGAAAATTATTATTATTATAATTATTATTATTATTATTATTATTATTATTATTATTATTATTATTATTATTATTATTATTATTATCATAATAATAATAATAATTATTATTATTATTATTATTATTATTATTATTATTATTATTATTATTATTATATCAATAATATGTTATGCTTATGGAGGATCAGTAAGAAAACCAATTTAGGCTGATTTCATTCGTCCTTCCTTGTTTCTCCCCTTTTTTGCTTACTATGATAATTTTTTTTTTCATTTTCTTGTAATTTTTCCCAAATATTGTTTTCCAAGAAGTTTGTCTTACGTTCATAAGGAAGAATAAACTTTGATTTGATTTCATTCGATAATGGTAATAATAGAGAGGGAATTGATGACGTTTGCTGATGAAGATGATAATGATGGTGCGACTCGGCCACGAGTGGAAGCCCAGTCAACAGGAGAACCTTTTGGGTCAAAACAATGAGCCACTATGAAGCATGAAAGAAGAATACGAATTAATAATTGCATTTTAAAGACACAAACTGTCTATAAAGGCTTTTGTGGATTTTCAAGTTAATGGATGAGATTGAAGGTCGTGGGAATCATTATCCAGTACTTACAAAGACATTTTATAACTCATTTAACAATTATATTATCTTTAAGTGTTGATGGCTAGGCCATTAAGCTATTTAAATCGCTTCGTAAGGCCAATTTACTTCTTCTTTTAAAATCGCAAATGTCAAATTAGCATTTGTCCGGTATTCGTTTTTCTGATAATTAATTTAATGCCTACAAATACCATGATATTTGCTGAATCGAATCCGACGACGATGATAATGACTGTTTATTGCGTTGATGATGCTAATGATGGTGACGATAGTAATGATGGTGGTGGTGATGCTAGTAATACAGATGATTACGATGATGATCGTCATGATGATACTAGTAATGATTATCCGATGTAGCCTATAGATGGTGAGATGATAATGATGATTGTTCTGGTGACAGAATTTGATAATGATAAAGATGATTTATGATGGTGAAAAATAATAATCAATTGTTAGCCTATGACTTTCATATTAATGACAGTATTTGAAAGTTTGAGCCCATGAGCGATCTAAGATTGCATTAAACGCTAGTATATAGGTTAAAATGATTGAATTGCATATAAGAAGAGTAATTTTAGCGCGCAAGTGCTTCGGGATAATTGTACACAACATTATAATAGTAGAAGATTTAATATTTTTAAATTGCGCCACGCGAATTTGATAAAAAATCACGTTGTTACATAACACTTAAACTTACGAAATCCCAGTAGACGAATACTGAAGCATGCTTTGGACGACTTACAGACGATCGCCTGACTTAGAGTGGCAGATGAGCATTTCACATTTGCATTTCAGGATTGATCAACAAGCGCGTTTATCAGTGATGGCGCCAGGATTTACTACTCGAAGGAGAAGCTTCCGGCGGAAGCGAGGGTTGGAGGGGAGGGGGAAGCTAAACGAGGGAAGGGCATTTTGGCTGAGGGCCGTCTGGGCTCCCGGTGGGTAAAGTGGGTGAAGCCCCAAGAAGTTTCGAATATTGGACGAAATTTTGGTGTATTAATATTAGTTTTTTTAAGGCATCAAAGCTAAATGTGTCAGTGGTAGAAAGGAAATGTTGTTTGACCAACTAAGACTGGGGCCGAAGGCCGCCTAGGGCCCCGGAGATCATGCATTCTAGAGGATTAAATGACCATTTTAATAGATTTCTGAGGAGGAAATCTGATATAATCTGAAATGGCGAACTCATATTTTGGTAGGGGTCATGCCCCATACCCCCATGAAATTTGACACTAAATGATATATTACTCATCACTTTTGTGATGTCCAAACAAATTCCTAATGGTAGGTTAAATTATTACTTATCTGATAGTCACAATTTACAATAAAAAGGCAATTTAATTGTATTACTATCGTGATGAAAAGTTACAGTAACACAGCTCAATGAGGAAGATATGGTTAGCCTAAGCGAAATAAACTTAATTTTTTACATTTTTTTCATTCCCCGGCAAAATCTACCCTTTTCCCCCACGGCAGGCAGGAGGTTGAAGCTAAACTTACCGTGCCCGGCGAGGGTATATAGTCTCGGCCCCCGCTGACGCCCACCACTGGCATATCAATTGATGCGCAGTGGTCGACGTTTTCGTTCATTGAAAGCCACTAAGGCTAGATTCAGGAATAGTTTCTTTCCTAGAGCAATTAGGGCTCTAAATTGTAGGTAAATGTTTCATACTTTTGCACTTTGTTTC